AGAGAGAGAGAGAGAGAGAGAGAGAGAGAGAGAGAGAGAGAGAGAGAGAGAGAGAGAGAGAGAGCCATTAGTAGTATTTTTAATTAATTAAAAACATTAACATAAATATAAAACGATTAAAGAAACAAATATAAAGGATATGATAGTTTTTTTGAAGATGATAGAGACCAAAATTGTATTTAAAAAGGGTCTACTATTACACCATTATTTTCTTACCAAAACCACATGGACCATTTTTTTTCAATTTTGTCTTTAAAAACAAAGTCATATAACAATATATTTATAACATTTTCTTTTTGTAGTGATAGGTCGTGGGATACTATCGGAGAATTATGTTATGCATATCATAAATTCGGTTTATTTTTCATATATCCTATAAACAGTAACGTTAATGAGCTAATTGACGATAACAATGTAAAAAACTTTCTAATATTTTGGGACTAGTGGTTTATAGTAGAATCCTCCACAAAAAATTAAAAGTGTTCATCATCTTTGACACACTCGTTTGATCATGGCTAAGCATCATTAACACTCTTTTTACTGGTAGGCTCCAACTTATTGGTTTACAGGAAACTTGTCACGGTGTTGATTTAATCCTTATGATGTGGATTACCATGTGTATAAATATTGCTAAAACTATGAACTCCACATATATATTATAATCTTAATATTAGAGCTGACATATGCATGTCCATGGCTTAACATATCTTTTTCTACATCCCCGAGCATCCGTATCTGAGGGTGTTAGTGTATCCTACATTAAATAATCAAATTGAAACCAATTTTTCTCAAACCGAAGAAAAATATGTTTAAAAAATTAAAAACCAGTCCTAATTCAACGGTTTGGTTTAATCCAAACATACAAACTGGTTTTCTCAAACCGATTTTGGATTAGTTTTCGGTTTAGAAACAAAAATTGTCCTATAGGGATTATTGGTTTGTTATGGCTTTATTCTGCCATATGGCATGTTTGCCGTTTCATAAAGGCCACCAATAGTGTCTTGCAGACGGGTGTTCATCGATAGTCAAACTCGGATGGAAATTTTGTTCAGCATATTATAATAAAACATAAATAATTATAATGATAATCTAGTACATTAAAAGTAAATTCTAATTATATCAAAAAAAAAAAAATCGTTAAATAATCCACAACATCATCAAGTATAAGAACCATGTACGCCAAGTTAGGATTTTTGTACAAAATAGCCAGACGACACATCACCAAAACTAGAGATAACCAATTTCATCTATTACCAATCTTTTTACAACGTTGGAAGTTTAAAGTTGACTAAGAGACTTATGATGTAGATCATATGGACTATATAGAAATCTCATACAATTGGTTCTTGACGAAATTGGTTCTTGACGAAAAATGAATCAACATAACACAATTGCCCAATAAAATAATTCAAAAGTAAATCTCATCACATCATACGGACTTCAAGACCTTCAAACATATATAATATTGTATCGTGTAATTTCTCGTGAAAAACAAGAAACATTAATGATATATGATCATTTTACATGCGATCTAGAAGCATTTACTTTAGAAATGCATCCCGAACTTTGGATACGTGATCGAATATAGATAGGGTCCTCTCCTCTTGTAACGTTGGTAGCACTCACAACTCACAAACACGTGAGGCCCATGAGGGCACGGACAAACTGCCATCCCATCACGCGCCATTATAAAGATAGCTGTGTTAGTGTAGGCCTATAAATCAAAACAAAACAAAATGCTTGAGATTTGAGAAGTACAACACTATCCGATTTAAACAGACTTTTTTTTTTTTCACCCACAAGTGAAACAATGAACCTCCCCTTTTTTATTTTGTAAATTTTGTTAAAAAAATATTTGGCTGGTTGTTTGAATCGGAAAGTGTTAAACTTTTCAAGCATTTTGTTTTGATTTAATTATGGGCAACTTCAATTCCAGCCCCCCCCCCCCCCTTTTTTTTTTTCAATTTTGTATGTTATTGGTTAATCACATGAAAATCGTGGATTTTTGTCATTCATGTAAGTAATTACGTATTTAATTTGATTAACTGGCTGTAAACTCTAATCTTCAAAATTTTAACTATCGTATGATGAATTCTGGTGCATTTGTGTTGTTACTTCTGTTATGCGTTAACAAAAACACTTTTGGTGAATTCTTGAGCATTTCATGCATTCCTCATGTACAAATTTTATCATGAAGTTGTCTAATGTCTTTTTTTTTTTTTGCACCACATCAACAAAAGGTATATCCGTAACGTCCATATCCATAATACTCATGAACCCCACAAGAACATGTGATTACCCTTCTGGTATTGACACAGACATAACAAATCAATAAAATTTGTTGTAAGAAGATAATAGATAATATCCTAACACACATAAAGATGCATAATTCAACCTTTAAATTACTAATCATAATCAGCATGCAAATTGCAAATAGCGCATGATCAGAAAAAACACTAATTTAAGATACACGAGAGCAAAGAAAATAATGACATATTTTTTTTCTTATATACACAAAACATGCCATTTACACAATACCAAAACATACCTGGAAATTTATGTTTTGTGGGCCCGTTCATGGTGCACCTCAGCCAATGGATTCTTGATTAAGCCACTACCACCACCCCTCATGAGGCGTAATCCAGTGTTGGTGTGGCGCATGGTAGCAACAGATTGGGATGAAGGATATGGCAAGTTTGATTGTTGTTGTATCTCTGTTTTCTTCCATAGCTTAGAGCTCAAAAGATCTGCACCTGGTAACCTGCAACAGAGGGTAGGTTTGGGATTTGAGATTCTTCCGGTTGACTTTGCCAAATCGAATGAAATTTCATCAAGTGTTGACTCTAGTCCGTGTACACGAGACTCCAATGATCGCATCCCATTCTGTGAGCTCCCAATATATTTCTGTAATTTAGGTCAGAGCAACAGAGATATGAGAAGGAGTTTATTGGTTGGGTTAATCTAAATTCTAAAGTAACAATGAAATTGAAATTACCTCGAGGAGATCGAATAAATTGGACTGCTGGGTTTCGATTTGAAGAAGCTGATTGCGGATCACAGATAAGTCCTCCGATTCTTGTTGGATTGAATTGATACTGGAGCTGCCAATGATCTCTGCAACTTTGTAGCTTGACCTTTCTTCATGATATGGTGATTCGTGCATTTTTTCATCTGAAATTTCATTGAAGAGGACGCGTTTCGTCACTGGTTTAAGCTTGAGATGATCTTCATTGTTAGAGACAAGAGTTGGAGGCAGAGAAACTGCTATGTTGAGTTTCTGATCATTTGGCTTCTTGCGATCCAGCTTACGAAACATTGCAGGACCACTTTTCCTGTTGCTGTTCTCCAATGAATTTCTACGGGTAGTACTGCTGGTGGAAGAACCGGTTGACTTATGAACAGTTTGAGGTGTTCTTGGTGGATATCGTACACTGACAGCTTCTTCTGCCATATCACAGATCAGAAATCGCATCATTTTGGGAATACGGATAATTATTATCACACACACAAACACAAGTATATAGATTACAAGTGAGTAGGAACTAAGATTAAACAAAGTTTCTACTAACTGATTAGAGTTCTTTCACTTAATTTTATGCTAAGTTAAGAATTTATGTGGAAAAAACTGCGATTTGGAACGCAATTTTAATTTAACAAAATATATGAATGAGATGCGTTGATCTGATCTTATAGCCAAGTATTAGTTGTTCAGGAACCATGCATATATGTATTTCGAATTTTTGAGGGATAGTTCTTCATACCTTTAGAAGATTGTGATTCACGGGGTGGTGATACCTGCTCAAGTACATCTGGAATTAAACTCCAAGCTTCCATCATCTGATTCATCGTCTCCCTTACAGCTTTCACCTACAAAATAATATTATTACTCAACGAAAATCCACATAATTACCACTTAATTTTGATTCATAGATTAGTATTAAACCTTATCGAACTTTTTTGCCTCAAATGTTTTCAAGCACGAAGCCTTGAACTCCGGCAACAAATTTGTCTCCACCAAAGCCAACTTCTCCAGCGCCTCTGCTGCCGCTTTCCTCGCAGTCCAATCCTCACTTTTGACCACGAAATCAACCATAACCGTCACCAGATTCCTCACAATTACCTGACTCGAAGCAGCACCGACGCTGATCACACTCGCTAAGACAGTCAGCAATGCTGCCTTCGCCTTAAAGCTATCGTTCTTCAACAGCCTCTCAATCCTCGGTAACAGCCTCCTCAAGTAAGCAGTGTCTGGATCTGGTGCGCCGTTGATAACCGCAGCCAAGCACAAAGCCGCTCCGATCTGAGAGTTCAAATCCTGTTCCGTCACTAAAGCGTCCACCAAGGGTTTCGCCACCGACGTAAATGGAGGTTTGGTGATGTGAGAGGCGATGGAGCCGGTAGCGGCAACGCAGGCAGAGCGGACCACAGCGTCAGGGTCACGGAGTCGTTTGACAACGGCAGAGAGGAGTTTTGACAAATAAGGCGACAAAACGTCGCCGTGGGCTTCGGACAAGGTAGAAATTAAACGAACGCATTGTTTACGGACCGGCGACTTGTCAGAGGAGTCGGTGACGGAAATGGAAGATAGAAACGGTGGGATGGAATCGAGACTTAGAGTTCTAGCGATGGACTCGAGCTCCGTAGCGGCGGCGGAGTGCGTATCGCGGTCGGAAAGTTTGCTGAGACACACGAGCACTCGATGCTTGAATTCCCGTGCTGAAGACTGGCTACTGGGAGTGTGTTTAGCAAGTGACATTGTGGAAGTTTTAGGAAAAACGAAGGTGTTTCAAGGTGGTGGTGGTGGTTTATCTGTGAATTCCGGCAGCATGGCCGGTGAAAGAATGGCGGTTCGGTGTGGCGGTGCCGTGTTTGGGTTCTCTGAAACTGAAAGTAGTTATATATGTTTGTTCCGTCTAAAGAGGATAGTGATTTCAATGGAAAAAAAATTCAGGATGACCGTGAACTTTAATTACTTTTGGGCTTTTTTATCCAATCCCAATCAATGCCTCTACGACGTCGTTAGGACTTTAGGGAAAAATTTTCTTGTTTCAATGTTTAGTTTTTCGTAGGATAATAATGGCAATTTGTACATATGGACCAAAAATAAATTTATCTTAATATAGATTATACATTAAGATATTAAATTGAAGGTAACATTGCCAGAAATATAATGAACAAGCATACCCTAAAGTAAAAGAATGGGAAGTGATTCGTACACAACGGTTTTTATCCGTACACAACAATTTGTGTTTAATAGAGTTGTACAATACAACATTTTAAAACACAAATACATTAAATGTTATTCAACAAATATCGCATGGTAAAAAGTGTGAATGTCATTCAACATGCAATTTGGTATTCAACAAATATCGCATGGTAAAAAGTGTGAATGCCATTCAACATGCAATTTGGTGCAACCATAAATAGTGCAATTAAATGCAAAAAAAATCAAACCATTGTATGCCAATATGTAACACCATCCTTTTGCAATTAATGCGTCTTAATGGGCTTGATTGATGTAAGTTTGAACTCGGTTTCCAACATATTCAACGGACGAGTTAAGAACCTATGGTCAATTATTCAATTACAAAGCTTTGTAGTTTTATTTTATTTTAGAAAGTCGCATTTTTTTGTTAAAGAAAAGAACAAGCTAGCTAGAAAATATGTCATATAAGGTACGATTACAAATCAAAATTCCAGCAATAGTGACTGCAGTGTTAAAAAGAGTCATTTCGACCCATTGTCTAAGACAATTTTTCCAATTTCATTAAATAATTTATCCATCAAAACTTTTATTTTTCGTTTTCCACCATATATAGTCTTGGAAAACATTGTTTTTTAAATAGCAACAATATATTAAAAAGAAACCAAACAAAAGCTAGATAGATGTTAGCAACAACCAAATTAAGCAGGATTGAATTTTCCATCCACACCGCCCAATTTATCATGGTCTTAGAGTTTCCCAACGAAAAGAGTGATCAACAATATTATCAAAAATAATTTGTTTCCTATATTCAAACTGTCGAAATAAAATTGTGTCCCCATACATCCAAAGCATCCATATCACCGACAGGAACACAGACTCCATGACAACCCTCTCCATTCTCGCAACTGGTCTCGCATAAGTCCAATCCACCATAATTGTTGTAAAGGAGAACACCAACAAATCCAAATCAAGTCGCGTAGTAACCCGTCTCTAGATTTGCATCGTCGTCGAACACTGGAAAAAAAGTGTGAGAAACGACCTCCTGCTCCTCCTGAAAAATACAAAAGAACCGAGTCCAAATTCACTCCTTTTTCAACCAACTTTGTTGTAAGAGGCAAACAGTCCAACAATAAGCGTCACAAAAACACATTAATCTTTAACGAGACAACATATTCCATCTAGTAGACCTTCCACCCACTGGAATCTGTTGATCATTGATATGCCTCCTAGCCAACTACACTAAAAAGTCACAAGAAGGATCCAAGTCCCATCCCTATTTGTCCGGCTGGGGAACCAAAGTCACCGACCTCAAACAACTCCAATAAATTAGCGAGTTGAAGGACCTATTCACCACCTCTGATATCTAGTTGGAAATCATTGTTTTAAAGTGGAGATCTTGATCCATACATCTTACCCAAATATAGTGTTTGATCCATTTCTAACATGTCTCTCAAATGGCTTCGGTAGTTCAATTCCATTCCACCAAATCCTCCCAAATCTTGGAAATATTAAGCTAAAGTTTGGGATTTGATTTTCAAACCCAATGATTATAGCATATTGCTAAAAAGATCAACATGTGTAGATAGTATCAAATATTTATATTTGTTATGTACTAAAAAGATTATTTGTATCAATCCATGGTCCTATAAACAAATCTTAATAGATACATGTCATATGATATACGATAGTAATATAGTAAACCATGTATATCAATAACCATGATATCCTATCATTTGTTCGACTAAATTATTTTTTGTCTACAACCACACATATTCGAACCAAAAAAAAATCTTGTTTAGATTAGATTAACATGGCTCACACAAAGCATCAAATATCCTAATTAGGGTTTTCATAATACCATTAAGTTTAAGTGCTGATGTTGGAACTTATGACCGCAAAGATTTGAATTTGGTCTCTCAATGAGAGTAATGTATACAGTTTTCTTAGTTATATTTGAATCCCTCAAACATTTAGTTACTTATAACTATTCTAAAATGAGATTAGAAAAAAAAACAAATATACTTAATATCATTAAGGTTTTTCAAAGATTTATAAATAATGGAGGATTTACCATAGTAGGCATGAATTTCAAAGGTGAAGAGCTTGGAATGGTAAATGGGTTGTAAATTTGATAAATAGAATGGGAAATTGTCTACCTTTTCTTTTTGAACAATCAATTTTATTAAGAAATGAAGGGAGGAAAACCCAGCCTTACAATTGTAAGGCATGGAGAAAGAAACAAAACCTCACCACAACATAAGAATATCCATCTCCCTTATTCTACTTTACATTGGTGGATTATAACACCAATCTAAGCAGTTATATACTTCCTTATTGCTTCTATGTTTGAACCATAGGAACACCGATCACTGAATAATGTCCACAACCTTTGTTGGTGTAATCCTTGATTGATTAAAGGTTCTATCATTTCTCGCTTTCCAGAGACACCATATCGTTCCATAACATATACCCATCAAAAAAAAATCTTTTTTTGGGCTATTCCCCCATGAGGCCACAAATTTTAGTACTTCCGTTATCTTATCGAAAAGGGGCATCGGGATACCACACCACCAGAATATCCATTCCCAAGTATATTTGGCAAATGACACACACAATAGGTGGTCACTTCTCCCCTCTTCTAAGTTACATTCACCATATTTACTAGATGTTATATTAATTCCCCAATTCTTGAGAGCCACAAAAAAGGGGATATGAATTTGAGTTGCCCGCCAAGCGAAACACAAAACTTTTATAGGTACTTCTTTAATCCACATAAATGAGTTGTCTTCTTCCGATCCAATGTTTGACTTTATCAGGCTCCTTCCACATGCTGCAATCGAGAACTACCCATTTGAATCTAATTCACATGACCATGAATCTGTGCTTGAGTTTCGACGAGTTGTTCCAAGGATGTTCATCAGTTGGTTCACAAGTTGTGGATCAAGTTGACTAGACCAAGACCACGAGAATCCACCATCATATATTTGATCCGAGATCCACCTCCATCCTCCATAGTTTTAATGATCTTACACCACGCCACCCAACTGATTTTCTTATTATCCTCCGAGCCTCCCCATAAAAATATGCACCTGAGCTTCTCCAATTATGAGATCACACACCTGTAGGGGCAATAAAAATAGAAAGATAGTAAGTAGGGAGATTGTATAACACCGACTAAATCAGTGTTAGGCGCCCTCCAAAAGAAAGGTTTTTTTTTGCTTTCCAGTCTGAGAGTTTTGCTTGGAATCTCTCAATGATAGATTTCCAGTTTGACTTTATGTTCATATTTGCACCAATCGGAACACCCATATAATTGAATGATAGGGAAGAAGGCTCACAACCCAACAGATGAGCCCATCGTGACGTTTCTTGTGATATAACATCAATTCCAAACACTTTAGACTCAGTGAAAGTTTATCTCAAGACCAGAGACAACATGAAAACATCGAATGATCCGAGCTAGATTCATGATGTTCCTTTTGGACCATTTGTCGATGAATAAAGCATCGTCCGCATAAAATAGATGTGAAATTGTTGGTCGGTTATTATGAAACATTTTTTTTTATTATCATTTTTCTTTATGTTTACATCATTGTTTTTGGTAACATTTCTCTCAATAAATTTCTTTTTACATTATATAAAACTCTCTTTTACTATATAAATGATTACGGAAGAGTCTTACCATAGAAAAAAAATCAAAAAAAAAAAAAGAAACAATTATTTTCACCAGTGAAAACTAATTTTGAAAGTCTAACTATGGAACTTACTATTCACCTACGAATATTTTTTTGTTTTGCATTTTCGCAGATAAAGCTTATATTTATTTCATTAAAACATGTTTTTGATGTGAAAATTGATTCTTGAAGATTTATACTACAAAAAACTTTAAGAAAAAAGTTATTATGACAACAAAAGCATGGTATTCGAAGTAGAATAGTAATTTTATAGATCTTGCCTATTAAATTACTATTTACATGAGAAGCTTCGTTTATATATAAATATAAAGCTCTATTTTGCCAGAAAATGGTTTTTGAATATACATACCACAAAAAACTTTAAAAAATATCCTTTTTTTATTATAAATAAAAATAAAAAAAAAACATGATTTCGTAGGTGAATAGTAATTTTGCATGTTTAACATGCCAAATTATTATATACCAACGAACAAACATTATTTTGTATTTTGGCAGGTCGAATTTGTGAATTTTTCTCAAACCGACTTTGTTTTAAGCATTTCTTAGATCCAATATATGAAATTAAAGGTTGTTTAAGAATAAAACTATTTTTTTATCTAAATCTCAAGGTTCTAAATAACGTGAGACATGACTTGGTGGCAAGGTAAAAGTTAAGTCATGACAAGCTTTGACGAGCCATGACGTTTTTCAAGGCGTGACTATTTTATATATATTAAAAGAGATAAATCATATAGTTATTGATTTTTATTAAGTATATCAAGTTTTTAGAAGTGTTATATTAGTATTTAATATAAAAAGTTAACAAAAACTCAATTATTTTAGGTCCGATAAAAAAAAACAAAAAAAACTCGCGCCTTGAAAAAAACTCGTGTCATATCGCGATAAGACGCACATTGACACGTTATTTGGGCGTCACGCTTAACGAACCCGCATTGGACGTTTTCGTAACGACTACACCACGCCTCACACCATGACACGCATTGAGGCGCGCCATGACGTGTTTTTCATAACCATGCTAAATCTTGATAAAACATGAGAGTTGGTTTTGTCTCT